ATCTCACTGGGTTATGGTAATTTCTGCACTATTCTTGGGGTTTCCAAGAAGATCAATCATTTTTCAACTTGACTCATGCTAATAAACACTATCGTGCATAAAGATGTACTAACAAAGATTTTCATGAATAAAATCTATGTTAAATAATAAAATATAGTCTACATGCATTAATGATCAAATGAGAACTTCAAATATCAACAATCCCTAATAATTTCAATGAAAAATTATATTCATCATCATTGAAAATCACCATTTTCTACCTTTATTAGGAGATAGGTTTTCAAAAATTTTAAATTTACCCTCATATATACCCCCAAACCTAAAGTGAACATTGTCCTCAATCTTTAAGCATGCAAGCGTATAAGAAAATGAACACATTAGTTTAGAAAATAAAATGGAAGAATATTACCGTATCAAGCGCATTCGCAGGTTTCTACAAAAGAAAACCATATTCTAATAATAATAATATTCTGGGTTGCCTCCCAGTAGCGCTAAGTTTAACGTCTTCAGCCAGACATATACTTCACATAATCCTTATAAAAGCACTATCTACCAAATGAACATAACAAATATAAAATGTAGATAAGTGACTAGAATGAAACATAAAGGATTGCATGAAGTGAACCTAAACTACAACGACTAAGGAAATGATATTAATCCTGTAGACAGGATCAATGAAGGCAACTTCCTCAACAAAATTATCAACAGGACCTTCGAGGTATGGTTTCACCCGTTGACCATTACTTTAAACACACGGCCCTCCTTAGGATCTTCTAACTCAATGGCTCCATAAGGATAAACAACTTTAACAATGAAAGGTCCAGTCCAACGAGAACGCAGTTTACCAAGAAATAGATTCAGACGAGAACTATATAAAAGGACTTTTTGACAAGGTTCAAAAGATTTCTAAGTATATTTTTATCATGGAACATTTTTATCCGGTCCTTATACATTTTCACACTATCATATGCGTCTTTTCTAATTTCTGCTAGTTCATTGAGTTGAAATTTTCTACATGCACCTACCTTGTCATGAGAGAAGTTAAACTATTTAATAGCCCAATATGCTCCATATTCTAGCTTTACAGGTAGATGACATGCTTTACCAAACACAAGTCGATAGGGTGACATTCCAATAGGAGTTTTAAATGCAGTTCTATACGCCCATAATGCGTCAATAAGTCTTAAAGACCAATCTTTTCTAGTCGGTTAACTGTTTTCTCAAGAATGTGTTTTATCTCCCTATTAGAAATCTCGACTTGACTACTAGTTTGAGGATGATATGGAGTCGCAACTTTATGAGTTATGCCATATTTCTTCATTAATTGCTCAAATGGCCTATTACAAAAGTGTGATCCTCCATCACTAATTATAGCACGCGGGGTACCAAAACAAGAAAATACATTTTCTCTCAAAAATTTGAGCACCACCTTGTGGTCATTTGTTTTACAAGCGATCGCCTCTACCCATTTTGACACATAATCAACAACTACAAGGATATAGAGAACCATAACAATCAGGAAACGGACCCATGAAATCGATACCCCACGCATCAAATAATTCTACAATTAAAATTGGATTCAAAGGCATCATATTTCGTCGTGAAATTCTTCCTAATTTTTGGCATCTATCACAAGAAATGCAATAAGCATAGGCATCCTTAAACAAAGTTGGCCAATAGAATTCGAATTGTAGAATCTTTGCGGCAGTTTTCTTTGCACTAAAATGACCTCCACAGGCATGATCATGACGAAAGGAAATGACACTATTTTGTTCGTTATCAGGTACACATCTCCTAATAATCTGATCAGGGCAATATTTGAATAAGTATGGGTCATCCCAAAAGAAATACTTAACCTCAGCTAAACACCTAGAACGATCTTGCTTGACCCAATGACTAGGCATTTGACCAGTAGCAAGATAATTAACAATATCTGCAAACCAAGGGAGTTGGGAAACGTGCATGAGTTGCTCATCAGGGAATAGTTCATGAATAGGGATTGAGTCGTCAACAGACTCAAGGACAAGTCTAGATAAATGATCGGCCACTACATTCTCAGAACCTTTCTTATCTCGAATTTCTAGATCAAATTCTTGAAGTAATAGAATC